GGGGGGGGGGGGGATAAAAAGCACTTGGCCGCTGTGGCGGGGAAGGCACCGCACAGCTCTGGGCTGGCAGGAGCGTTCCTCGGCAGCCCGGCACCAAGCTCCTTTGGGGGGGGGGTGTAGGGGGGTGTGAAAAAACATCTCAGGGTTTGGAAACCCTCGGGGCGGAGGAGTAGGGGATGAAACCTTAGTCTGGAGGGTTCAAAAGGTAGGTAGTGAGGAGGAGAAATGGCCCTTTTGAGGCAGGGCCAGCTGCTCTGTCAGGGTTTTTATTAAGATTTTAACTAGAGATTGTGATTATTTTTTTTCTTCATCCTTTTTTTTGTTTCTAAAGATGAATTTACTCAAAGGCACTTTTTTTGATGATGTTGGCTTCCGGCATGGAAGGAGCACGCTGCAGCATCAGACACTCTGCCATGTGTTTTTTTGGGGGTTTTTTGTTTTTTTTTAAGAGACTTCTCATGTGAAAACAAGAAAAAAAAAAAAAAAAAAGTTGTTTGCCAGAGTGTGACAGCAGAAAAATACTCACCTAATTTTATACTTCACACGTTTTTAGAAAATGAGGTGCATTGGTGGGATTTTTTTTTTAAATGGGGGCTTTGCTTTTTCACTTCCCTCAAGATACAGAAATAAATAGAGGGAGAAAGGCCCTGTATATACTGTTATGGGGGGGTTTTTTAATTGTGATAAATTGATTATGCAGTTGAGTAGCTGATAATTTGTAGTAATAACATTGTTTCTTTGTATGTTTGTAATAATTGAGATTTTAAAAGGGATGCTTTGATTTGTACAAAACTGACAGCTGTAAAAGTGTTCTAAAAAATCCTCATCTGTGTCTGATACTTTCTATTTGCCTTAAAGAAGGAAGAAAAAAAAAAAAATCAACCAGAGCACCCTTCCCTGCCTGGAACTGATTTATCTCCTGCTGGCTGGTTGCAGCATCCGTCGGAGTCTGGTGCATATAAGAAGGAGACGGCATTTTTCTATTGTTTGGTTCGCTCCTACTTTTGTTTCTATCTTTAAATCCTCCCAATCAAGCCTGTTGCTAGGAGCCTCGTTACTTGGTTACATCCAGCTTCCCAGGACCCATCCGGCTGTATCCGACAAGATCTAGTCTCTGTTTTCTTCCCAACCACATGAATGAAGAGCAGAAACAATATGGTCTTGGTAGGAAAAAGACAAGAGGATGAGGGGGTTGTTTCTTTTAAGATACAAATGAGGTGAGTAAACACCATTTGTGGCTCTGAAATCACCCCCCTATCTCAGCCACGAGTCGGGAGGAAAAACAGTTTTGGTTTGGGGTTTGGATTTTTTTTTTTTTTTTAAGCTTCTAATTTTCCAACAGAAATTTGGTCGTGAAAAACTCTGCGCAGATTCCCAATTGGAAATGCCCCTGTCCTCGGGGAGTGCTGTGCTCTCCTCGGCCGGCGCAGGTCCCCAGGGGGACACGGTGGCACACGCAGTGGCACACACGATGGCACGCCGGGCTTTCCTCACGCGGGGTGGAGGAGCTGCCCCGTCCTTCAACGTCTGTTCCCAGCACGTTGCCTGTAGTACAGGGTGGGAAAAGGCAAACCCGAGCTCTGTTGGAGCACCACAACAGCTTTTCCACCTCAAAATTTATCTTTCAGTGTTACATTTTTCAAAGCCTGGAGTTGCAGACAGAAAACAGCCATTTTTCTGGGAATTACTAGTTGTGACAAATACCCAAATTCATGGTTAAATGCAGGGAAGAAAAATAGTTTCTATTAAATCTTTCTCCTCGGGACTACTCTTGCACTGTCTGGCTTCTCATGCTGGGAAGGCAGAGCCTGGTGTGCCCTGGTCGGAGTTTTCATCCTGGCTTTGCCAGATTTCAGCCCCCTGACCTAGCTGAGAGCCCTGGCGAGGGACTCACAGCCCGCTTCGAGCACTGAAGCTGTTGAGCCTCACCGAATTTCTGCAGTGCCTCATGAAAGTCCCTGCGCTGGCTCAGACCAAAAACCTGGGCTAGTACCCTCGGCTCAGAGGGTGCCAAACCGGCACGGTTTGTTCCATGTGTCCTCAGAGGCTCCCGGAGCTGAGCTTTGCCCCTCTGTGGTGTCAGGCAGCTCCTCATCCTCCCTCCTTAGGCTCATTTTCAGCTGAAAGTGCCTCAAGCAGGAGCTCGCAGCCTGCCGAGGCCGGCCCGGCGCGAAGGTGAGCCGGGCACCTCTCCCCGGGGCAGCGCTGCCGCAGCGGGCGAGCGGTGCTCGGCCTTTACTGGGCGCTTTCGCTCTGCTGAGCGCAGCACAAACCTTGCCAGTCCCGGAACGTGCCCAGTTTGCCTCGTTTACAGCAGGTCAGGAGAGAGAGGCGAGAGCTGAGCTGCCGAAGGCTGGGCTCCCGCTCCGCCGGCAGAGCTGGAGCCAGCCGAAGAGCCTCACCTCCACCTCCCGTGCCGTGTCTCTGCCCTCGCAGAGCTGCAGGGAGGATTTCAAACAGGTCGTGGCCAATTTTTGTGTTTTCCAGCCAGACCTTGGGTAAGAAATGGCTGGTTCCTGCCTTTATCTACTCGCACATGCTTCCTTCTCTCTGTGGTTTATCCATGCCTCTAAAGCAGTTTGAGTGTTTGCAGAAGGATATATATTTTTAAAATTTATTTTGGGTTGTGATTGCTTTATTTTAAAGCTTTAGGAAAATACGGTTTTGACAGTAACTGAACGCGCTTGAATATTACGTACTGATCCCAGTCACCTGCTGGTAATGAAATCAAGGTCAAAAATAAGACTTCTTTTTTTTTTTTTTGGTTAGTGTTTTTTCCCATTCCACTCATTTCAGGTGAGCTGATGTTTGGCTGCCCCTTGCCTGCTTCCAACAGAAATCTCTCCTGAAGATGCAGAAGCTCAAAGTTTCCAGAACACTGACCTGGGAAGCTGGAGGTGGTGAGGTTTTCAGGGCACAATGAAAACCTCTTGCAAAGCATTTCCTGAGACCTACTAACCAAGAGGATTAGATTATTTTAATCTTTTTTAAGTAATTACTTGAATAAATATCTCCTTTCCATCTTGCAGGCCCCCTGGCAAGGATCTGAAACTTTAGTACGCAAATGAATATAAACTCTTTCGCAGCCTGACAGTGTGTACTCACAGCAGAACTAAACCCACAGCTCAAGTAAACCCACTTAACCAGCCGGTAATTACCCACAAACACACTCCCTTCCATTCCTCCCTAATTGCTGGGGCTTTCTGGGAGCACTGGCTCAGGCAGCACACCCTGGGGGCAACAGGCTTTAAAATTATCTTTAAAAAAATAATACCACTAAGGATCTTAAAATCCTTTAAAGCTTTAGTGGCCTGTGTTTTGTAGCTGGGCTGGGAGAGGTGAGAGCAGACCTTGTTCTGGAGAGGAGGGCAGCAGGGTGAGCTGGGCTGGGCAGAGAAGTGCAACGAGCTGTCGGGGCCATGGAGACCTGCGCCTTTGGGATAGGGTTTTTCCCTTTTTCATGAGATTTCCATGAAGAAAACTTGGCTGCCCATTGTCTTCTTCCAAAGGAAACCTCTAGAGGTCTGGGAGTCCAGAGGTGTTTTGGCTGTAGCCCCCGTCCTTACCGGGCTGCAATATTCAGTCCCTGCTCCTGGAGCACACGGGGGTGGAAGCTGCTATTCCCAGAGCAAGGAGGATCACTCACCAGTACAAACCAGTACAAACCATTGTTTCTAATGTGTTTATTCTGCTGAAGCCACATCAGTGCAGAACCCCAGACGGAGGAGGGTGCTGAGTGTTGCTGCTCCTGCTGTCCCTGAGACGTGAGGGGGGGGCAAGGACCTTCCCTGCGGCTCCGAACGATGCGCCTGCGGCAGAACCCCCTTCCCCACCCCGCAGAGGCTCTGGGCTTCCCTTTTCCAGCCCACCAAGGCCAAGTGCTGGGGGGTTTTCCCACCAGAGGCTGTTAGTGGGGTGGGTGGCAATCCCGCTCCCTGATCTTCAGACAGGAGCAGAGCACGTAAAGAAAGGAAACGTTTCACAGCGCACATCTCCGCGCCGGGGGCTCCCGCAGACAGTCTCTGCGTGGTCTCTGCTGCTTCCCTTTGTCCTCAGGGTCTGGGCTGGCCAAAACCGCCGGGCTGGTGGATACCAGAAGGCTGGACAAGGCGACAGCTGTCCCCAGCCAACCTTGCTGTTTGCTCTAAGGTGACTTATCTTAAGCAATCGGCCTTGCCTTCCTGTTTAGCTTTCTTGCAGCGCGCTGTTAAACTAAAGCAACAGACTTGTACAGTCAGCATCTTGATAACTAGGGCACTGTCAATCCCTAAGTAATTACTGAGCCGTTGCATGTTTCCCATGATCGGTGTTTCTGGAAACAGCGTGTTCAGGTTCAGCGCTTGGGTTCCTCTCTCGAGGAAATGTTGCCTCTCCTTTGCCACCCTTTTTTTCTGATGAATATTGTAATGAGCCCAGCTGCAACGCTGCTGTGTGCCCAAGTGAATCAGCCCGCACGGAGAAACCCTCCTGCACTTGTGTTTCCTTGAAGAACAACCTCTGCTGAGCTCAAATTGGGACAAAAGGTGAGACCTCAAGCGCTCTGGGGTGAGGCTTGTGGGACAAAAGAACTTGAGATGCTGAAGCTGCCTGGTATCACCCAGTTCTGGCACGCAGCATGCGAGGGCAGGAGCCCCGGGCAGCTCAGAGGTGACGGCAGGTCACCTCCTTTTGCCACTGAGCTGCTGCTGACAGCCCGAGCCGGCTGCGGCGAGGGCAGGAGTGTTGCACCCCGGCCAAGAAAAGTGCTGAGGCTGCGGGTAACGCGCCGGCTGCCTTTAATCGCCTCGGTGACCACCCGACTCTCCTCGGCCCCTCCTGGCCCTGCTCTGCTCTCAGGGGCCGTGGCGCCGGCCAGCCCTGCCAGCTCCGGGGCAAACAACCTCCTGGCGCAGCCCTCGGTGCCTTCCGATGGGATTATTTTTATATTAAA